TAAAGATAAAAAGGAAAGGTTGATTTTTTAAAGGAGATCAACCTAACATCCCTCTCATTCAAGGCACTGAGAATGTCCCCTGTTGACAATTTCCAACTCTTACGCCCCTTTTCCTCCTAGAGCTGGTGCTCACCAGGTCTGCCTGAACTCACCTAAACAGGTCTCTGTTCCCAGAGGAGTCTTCCACTCCTCTCTCAGGGCTCCACAGCTCCTCTCTTGGCTCCCAGGGGTACAAAGTACTGGGTTTTCATCATTCATTTCCTGCTTGTGGGAAAGAAGATGCCCAGTGTGGGAAGACCATGCCCTGCTGTGACCCAGATGTCTACTGACATCCCAAAGTACTTGAGGTTCTAGAAATTCATGCCTGAATCCTGAGGGACACAGCTAAGGTCTTTCACTAATGAACAGAATCTCAGCCTCCTCACTGGGACATAAAGGACAGGGGGATCCCTTGTCCCAAAACTAGGGCCAGGCTCAGAGACATACTTGAGAATCCTGGAAGCTTTTAATCATGGAGAGACAAAGCAGAGGACAAATATTCACCATGGGGAGGTAACATGAGCATAATGAGGACGTCCTGGCTGGTCTGTCTGCCTCTGGATCTCCCAGACCTCCGTTCAATTTGTTGAAGCCCGTTGCTTGGAAGCAATTCTATGGACCATGGATGCATTCTCCTTGCATTTTTTGAATTTCCTAACTTACTGCTTTCTTATATTTTTCTGTAGTAATTGCAGATAGACTTCTTTACCCTTGGGAAAATACAAAGGTGAACAGAGCAGATGAAGTCTCTGCTCACCTGTATGTGGGTTTATCAGGTGATAGACTGAGAACAGAGAGAAAAATGTGTTCTAACACAATGCCCCCAGCCATGGGAAGGGAGCAAAGGGACAGGAGGGTCATGACATGTGCATGGGTTTGTGGAGAACAGCTGGGGAGACCTCTGCTGGTTGGCTGAAGGCCAGAACCAGGGCCAGAGGGCACCTGTGGGCTTTGTTAAAAAAAATCAAAATCCAAACCCAAAAAATAATAAAGAAAAGATGCCACATGAGAGAAGTGAGGAAGAGGACTCCTCAGCCACCAGGTCAAAACCAACTGGTCAAGGAGACCTGGAAGAGGCACAGGAAACCCAAGAGGCCTTCTATCATATAAAACCATGACAAGATTCTATTGTACTTTTGGGGAACATTTTCTAAATTGTTAATTTATTCCCCTTCATCCTTTTATATTTGGATCATTTCTATATCACTTTGAAACCATAAAAACATCTCTGTTTCTGGCTTTGGATGTGTTTATTTCTGCTCCTTTCTTATTTTGCTGAGCACCCAGGAGACAGGGCTGGAATGCTGCTGGAACCAAGGGAGCGGTTTCCTCCTGTTGGTCTCTCAGGGACCCTGAGCTGATTACCTCACCCCTCCACCCCGTGTCCATTTCATCCCACTACTTTCCTGTCTATTGACATCTTTCTCCATATGTGTGTTTCTTTAAATGCAGGGTGTAATCTAGCAATATGTAACAGTATTTTCCCTGTGTTTATTTGTCCAGCGGAAGCATGCAAAATGAACATTCTGGCTGCCATTTCTACATTAGGAGAAAGATAATTTGATCTCTCCAGCTTGTATTGTATACACTAGGAGTCTAACAGTGTGGTGTGAAGGTCAGAGGCCACAGGGATGACAGTGTGATGTGTGTGCATATGTGCCGACCTCAAGGCAGGGCACTGGGACTCAGATAGGCCAGGGTGATGGTCATAGCACATAGATCAAGTCAACACTGGCTGAGAAGCACTTGTTTGAATTTAACAATAGCAACGTATTCTTGCAACATTGATATCATAGTGAATTGATGAGAACAAATATGAAAGGCATAGAAAGTACAAGTAGCACGATACCATTATGAAATATTGTGCATCCTTTGAAATACTTAAACTGCATGGAGTTAGTTGTCTGCAGAAAGTCCACAGGAATTATGGAGTGAGAAGATAAGGGGGGATAAACTAGAAAAGAATACTGCACCACTGCAGAGAGCATTTATGATGTGCATAGGACTGTACTCATGTGTTTGCATAAAAGTATAAGAGCATGTGTGTATGCATAATATAGAAAGAAAAGCTTTAAAATAGCCTGAGAATTTATAGAACAGAGAATGGCAGCATAAATTGAAGTAGATAAGTATAGTGCTTTTTTCTATAAGGCATGAGACTATGG